TAGATAGATGAACCCAGGAGCTGGTTCTTGGAAAGAATTAACAAAATTGGTAAACTCTTAGCCAGTTTGACAAAACAACAACAAAAACAAAAACAAAAAAACAAAAAACCCAAATAAATAAAATCAAGAATGAAAGAGGATAGATCACAAACAACACTGCAGAAATACAGACAATAATAAGAGAATATTGTGAGCAATTATATGCCAAGAAATTAAGCAATATGGAAGAAATGGACAAATTCCTAGAAATATATAAACTACCAAAAGTGAAACAGGAAGAATTGAACAGACTCATAACCAGTAAAGAAATTGAATTCTTAATAAAAAATTTCCCCCAAAATAAGAGTCCAGTGCTGAATGGCTTTTCAGGGGAATTCTACCAAAAATTTAAAGAATAGTTAATGTCTATTCTTTTGAAGCTGTTCCAAAAAATAGAAACGGAAGGAAAATGTCTAAACTCATTTAATGAAGCCAGCATTACCTTGATTCCAAAACCAGACAAAGACCCCACTAAAAAGGAGAAGTACAGACCAGTTTCCCTGATGAACATGGATGCATAAATTCTCAACAAGATACTAGCCAACCAGATCTAACAGCACATTAAAAAATTCTTCACCATGATCAAGTGGGATTTATATTGGGGATGCAGGACTGGTTCAATATCAGCAAATCAATCAATGTGATACATCATATTAAAAGAAAGGACAAGAACTACATGATCCTCTCAATAGATGCAGAGAAAGCATTTGACAAAATACAGCATCCTTTCTTGATAAAAACCTTCAAGAAAGTAGGGATAGAAGGATCATAAAATATCTCAGGATCATAAAAGCCCTATATGAAAGACCCACCGCTAATATCATCTTCAATGGGGAAAAACTGACAGCTTTCCCCCTAAGATCAGGAGCACGTCAGGGATGTCCACTCTCGCCACTGTTATTCAACAAAGTATTGGAAGTCCTAGCCTCAGCAATCAGACAACATAAGGAAATAAAAAGGCATCCAAATCAGTAAAGAGGAAGCCAAACTTCCACTCTTTGCAGGTAACTTGATAACTCTATATGGAAAACCCAAATGATTTGACCAAAAACTGCTAGAACTGATCCATGAATTCAGCAAAGTTGCAGGATATAAAATCAATGCCCAGAAATCGGTTGCATTTCTATACACCAATAACGAAGCAGCAGAAAGAGAAATAAAGTGACCAATCCCATTTGCAGTTGCACCAAAACCCATAAAATGCCTAGGAATAAACCTAACCAAAGAGGTAAAAAAAATCTTTACACTGAAAACTATAGAAAGCTTATGAAAGAAATTGAAGAAGACACAAAAAAAGGAAAAATATCCCATGCTTATGGATTGGAAGAACAAATATTGTTAAAATGTCGATACTACCCAAAGCAATCTACATATTCAATGTAATCCCTATCAAAATAACACCAGCAGTCTTCACAGAGCTAGAACAAATAACCCTAAAATTTTTATGGAACCAAAAAAGACCCTAAATTACCAAAGCAATCCCCAAAAAGAAAACCAAAGCTGGAGGTATCACAATTCCAGATTTCAAGATGTATTATAAAGCTGTAATCATTAAGACAGTATGGTACTGGCACAAAAACAGACACTCAGATCAGTGGAGCAGAATAGAGAATCCAGAAATGGACCCATAAATGTGTGGCCAACTAATCTTTGACAAAGCAGGAAAGAATATCCAGTGGAATAAAGACAGCGTCTTCAGCAAATGGTGTTGGGAAAACTGGACAGCGACATGCAGAAGAATGAACCTGGACCACTTTCTTACACCATACCCAAAAATAAACTCAAAATGGATGAAAGACCTAAACATAAGACAGGAAGCCATCAAAATCCTCAAGGAGAAATCAGGCAAAAACTTCTTTGACCTTGGGCACAACAACTTCTTACTCAACCCATCTCCAGAGGCAAGGGAAACAAAAGCAAAAATGAACTATTGGGACCTCATCAAGATAAAAACCTTCTGCATGGCAAAGGAAACAATCAGGAAAACTAAAAGGCAACCAACGGAATGGGAGAAGATATTTGCATATATCAGATAAAGGGTTAGTAACCAAAATCTATAAAGAACTTATCAAACTCAACACCCCCAAAAAACTAAATAATCCAGCGAAGAAATGGGCAAAAGACATGAACAGACACTTTTCCAGAGAAGACATCCAGATGGCCGACGCATGAAAAGACGTTCAACATCACTCATCACCAGGGAAATACAAATCAAAACCACAATGAGATACTACATCACCACTGTCAGAATGGCTAAAAGTAACAACTCAGGCAATGACAGACGTTGGCAAAGATGTGAAGAAAGAGGAGTTCTTTTGCATTCCTGGTGGTAATGCAAACTGGTGCAGCTACTCTGGAAAACAGTACGGAGGCTTTTCAAAAAATTAAAAATGGAACTACCATATGACCCAGCAATTGCACTACTAGGTATTTATCCAAACGATACAGGTGTGTTGTTTTGAATGGGCACATGCACCCCAATGTTTATAGTAGTGCTATCTACAATAGCCAAATTATGGAAAGAGCCCAAATGTTCATTGGCAGATGAATGGATAAGGAAGATATGGTATAGATATACATAATGGAGTTATTACTCAGCAACCAAAAAGAATGAAATCTTGCCTTTTGCAACAACATGGATGGAACTAGAGTGTATTATGCTAAGTGAAACTAGTCGAAGACAAATATAACTTCACTCATGTGGAATTTAGAATACAAAATAGATGAATATAAGGGAAGGGATGAATACAAAACAGGGAGAGGGACAAAACACAAGACTCTTAAATATAGAGAACTGAGGGTTGCTAGAGGGGTTGTGGATGGGGGGGATGGGCTAAATGGGCAAGGGGCATAAAGGAGAATACTTGTTTGGATGAACACTGGGTGTTATACAGAGAGGCTGAATCGCTGGATTCTACTGAAATCATTATGATATGCTAACTAACTTGGATGTAAATTAAAAAAATATTTCAGTGAGTTTAGAATCAAAGGGACATTGCTCAGAGATCACAATAGGATCACAGAACACTTCTTTGAGTAAGAGTTGCTTGAGTTGAATTATGAAGGATGAGTTGAAATGAACAAATGAAGTGGCACCTGGGTGGATCAGTCGGTTAAGTGTCTGACTCTTTATTTCAGCTCCGGTCATGATCTCATGGTTAATGTGTTTGAGCCCTGCATCAGGCTCCATGCTGACAATGCAGAGCCTGCTTGGGATTCTTTCTCCCTCCCTCTCTGCCACTCCCCCCCCACTCTCAAAATAAATCAAAAAAAAGAAAAGAAAAGAAAAGAAAAGAAAAGAAAAGAAAAGAAATAGGAATGAACTAGTGAAGTTATGGTGTGAAAAGATAGATAGCCTTTTCAGGTGGAGGGAATTAACATGCTCAATGGTTGTGAGGTACATGGCATTTGGGGAAACAATGCACAGAGAGGAAAGTAATATAAGAGCTTGAAAAGGCAAGGGTGAGATCGTGCACTCTTGTGGACCATGTTAAGGACTTTTGCTTTACCTCAGCGCAATCAAAAAGCATCAAATTATGTTAATCTGGAGAATATGTTTGGAACTGCCTTTTAAATATTAGGCTAACTTTTGTGTGAAGAAGAGATTTGGAGAAATAGATGTGGTTAAGTCAGAGCAGGATTCCAGGTGAAAATCGTTTGGACAAGATTACTAGATGAGATTAAACAGACACATGTCAATCTCAACGTATCCCCAAGCAAATCCATTTCTTCTAAATTTGTTTCTTTTCCTATTTTCATCATTTTGTGTGAAATAAAATGATTAGCCAAAAGATCTGGGCAAGTCATATAAATGAAATTGAAATCGAAATCATGAGAGTGGGTAACATAGTGGTAGAGGAGGTTTTAAGGAATGAACTTCCAGGAACATTTAACCCAAGCAAGAAAGCTAGCTCTTCCTTTTCTCCTATCATATCCAATTAATTACCAGGTCCCTTAGATTCTTTAAATTGTTTCTTGAGGGTGCCTGGCTGGCTCAGTCCATAGAGCACGTGGCTCTCTCATTTCAGGGTTGTGAGTTCAAGCCCACGTTTGGCGCAAAGCTTACATAAAGTTTCTTGCATCAGTTTTCCCTAATTCCCATGCATTAGATCAGATCACCATCCCTAGAACACACAAAATTATTGCCTTCGTTGGCCATCCTGGCTCAAATTTTCCTTCCCTTCAATTCACCCTTAACACTAGGCACTAGAGTGCAAATGATGATCATACCATTCCTTAAACTTCTTCAGTGTCTTCTCATTGCAAAATATCCAAGTTCCCCCACAATGACTTGCTTACTTTTTCAGTCTCATTTCTTTTCTTACTACTTCTCCTTTGCCCTCTTTCACCAGGCCAGTGAACTAAATATATATATATATGTATTTTTTTTTAAAGGAAGGCTTAACGCCCAGCGCAGGGCCCAGTGTGGGGCTTGAACTCACCACCCTGAGATCAAGAATCTCACACTTAACCGACTGGGCCACCCGGGTTTCCCCCATCCCCACAAAATAATTTTTTTAAAATTAAAGTATAATTGACAATGTTAGTTTCAAGTGTAGAACACAGTGATTCAACAACTCTATATATTCAAGTGTAGCTGTCACCATACAACCTTATTAAAGTACCATTGACTATATTTCCTATATTGTACCTTTTATTCCCATGACTTCCTCCATAACTGTAAATCTGTGACTCCCACTTCTCCACCTATTTTGCCCATCCCCCCAATCTCTCCCTCTGCAACCATCAGCCAGTGGAGTACTTCTTCCTTCTTCTTTTTTTTTTTTTTTTTTTTTAATAATGGACTTCATTTTTTTCTTGCCTTTAAGTCTTGCACAAACTATTCCCTCCACCTGGAACAATGCTCCCGGATTCAATGGGCCGGCTCTTTCAGTGTTTAGTTCCTCCTCCCGCCTCCCTCCTCCTGGGGCCCTGAGCTCTTTAAGGGCAGGGCGGTGTCTGGCTTGCGCCCCAAAACCTTCCCTACGCGGCCACGACAGCATCCTGCACGGCGTAGGGAGGAAAGGAGCCCCTAGGTCGTTTTGGCAGTTCAGCTACTCCAGCTCCTCTTTCCGAAGGGCGTCGGGCAGGTCAGAACCTGGGAGGAGGAGCTGGGCCACCCCGGGGCTGCGTTCTCCTGTCACGTCCGATGGATGCAGCGTCCGTGCTCGGCCGACGGGAGCCATCGCTGCCCTGGCGCGAGAGTCTCTTAGAATCTCAGCCCTTCACGCGGGAATTCCGTTTACTACAGCTGCCGACGCTGGTGGTTTGTCGCGGAAGTTCGGGGCTCGCAGTCCGTTTGGGTTTCGTAGCAGGTCTGAGGGTGGAGTCTTGGTGTCAGGCTCGGGACGTGGGGCATTATGGGAGTCGTAGTTGAGGCCACCTGGATTTTGGCATGGTCTCGGGGCATTCTGGGAGTTGTAGTGTGTGGGCCACAGTGTAGTCCTAGGAAGTGTCGTCGTCCCAGGCCCCCCGGCTCTGGCGCTGCGTACGCAGGTGCCTGGCATCCTGGCAGTAGTAGTGCGTGAGGGGAGCGCCTCAGCCCTCGCGGGGGAGGCCGCGGTAGGTCTTCGGCAGTGTAGCCTTCCGAGGCCCGCGGGCTCTGGCGCTGTGTGCGCAGGTGCGGGGCGTTCGGGCATTGGTGGTGGGTGATGGGAGCGCCTCTGCCCTCTCCCCGCGGCCGCGGTGGGTCCTGGGAAGTGTAGTCGTCCGCGGCCCGGCCTGGTCGCGGGGTCTGGTGGCTGAGGCTGTGGCGGGTAGAGTCCCTCCCCGGACGCGGATCCGAAAGTCTGGCTCACTTGGGCCCAAGATACTTAAAGCGGCCCCCTCTGTCCGAGATCCCCTCCAGGTGGCCCGGGCCGAAGACCACCTGCAGCTCCCCGGCTAAAGGCGCAGAGGAAACGCGCCGTCCGGTGACCCCGTTACAGGAGGCGGTGCCGGGGTGCGGGTCGGGTCTAGGCTCCCCGGATCCCACACCGTGGCTGGGAGGGACTCTCTTTGGCGGCCCCGGTCCTCTGGGTGACGAGGAAGGGTGGGTGGGTGGTTGTGCCGCGGTGGGAGTCCGCAGCCGGTGGGGCCCGGTCGCTCCGGGACGGCCCCGCGCGCTCAGGGCTGCCTTTTCTCGCTGCCAGCTGTGCCGTTTCCCCCTGCGCTCCTCGGTCCCGCCGCGAGCCATGCCTCAGGTGAGCTGCGCCTTTTTTCTTTCCCAGGGCATCTGTGTGCTTCAGGACTGGGGGACAGAGGCTTGCTTTCTCCGGAAGCGCCCTGCTCAGGTCCTCCCCTTCGGGCACCTGGACCTGAGGGGACGTGGGAAGGTTGACGGGAAGCTGTCCGGTCGTGGGCGGGTTTCGGCCCTGGGGGAAGGTCGGGAGCCGGCGGGGGAGGGGGCGGGTGTGTTAGGTCACTTCTTCCTCCTTTTCCCAGCGTTAGAATGAGGAGTGCTTTACTCTGTCCCTCGCTCCAGCTACCCCTTTCTCAGTCGTACATATTAAAGTTTGTTTATTTTTGAGAGAGGGAGAGAGGAAATCCCAAGCAGGCTCCTCGTTGTCAGCGCAGAGTCAGAAGTGGGGCTCCATCCCGGGAACCGTGAGATCATGACCCGAGCGCAAATCGGGAGTCAGATCCTTAACCGGCTGAGCCACCCGACTGCCCCAGTCATATTCTAATTAAGCATGTACTTTCAGCACCTGTGTCAGTGGTCTCAAAGTGGAATTCCTGGACCAGCAGTATCAGCATCACGTGAGAACTTACTAGAAACGTATAGTCATGAGCTCCCTTCCCATACCTTCTGAACCAGAAACTCTGGGTGTGCAGTTCAACAGTCACTCCCAAGTGACTCTGATGCGTGACCCATCCTGGGTGTGGGGGGTTCAGCTGGGGCAAACAAAATCTCTGGCAGTTGTTTCACAGAGGTGGGGGTAAGAAGGCCAACTGTTTGATTTAGTTCCTGTTTTTTGTTCTACTTCTCTGCCCTACATACATTGTCTCATGCTTGTCTCCAAATCCAGATGCTCTCCCAAATTTGATGGGGAGTCCAGTTTCCATCTGTGCTGCAGATTCCGTTGTTGAGAAAATAGCTTCCTTTACTAGTCAGTAACCTTTATCGCTTAAAACTTTTTTTTTTTTTTTAACTGTAAGATACAACTGCCATGCATCTGGAGCTCTTACTAGTTTGACCCCTTTTAAAATTTCTGCTCATGCTTAATGGTTCTGTGGGTTACTGAAGCAGTGCAAAAGCAGGCCGTGAAGTGGGGGCACATTATTACTCCTAACCCTGAGGGGAAAGCTTTTTGTTCCATTCTGGGATGGGGGACATGTCTTCCTTCGGTAGTCTTTCTTACTGCGTATCCTTGTTCTGTGACACTGCTTACATCGCCGGTAAGTTTCATAGCCCTTTTTTCAGGAATGGCGGTAACCGTGTTGCACTTGAGTGCATGCCCCTTTTTAAAGGTACTGCTGCTGTCTGCTGTAGCCGGTTGTTACCATGAAGATATTCTTGCCGGATCTCATTAAAATAGGCTGCTATCAAGGAAAATATACACTGCCTACTGAATACAAAGGGGCTGTCTTTGTTATTCATTAAGTGTTCTAAGATTCTAAGAACTTGAACAACAAAAGGCAGAAATTCATGTTGTTCATGTGTATAATCCTTTATCTTTCACAAAATGGTAAATTATGTCAGGACAAATTGTATTTATTTTTTTCCTTTTCTCCAATTATGCAATAAAACAAAACAGGCTCTTACTAATTAGAATTCTGAAAACCCCCATTTGCTACTCTATGCATACACTGTCTACTCTCCATGGTGAGACTCATTTCACTCCTAATCAGGGCCTGTGGGAGCATGGGTGCTGGTTGTGCAGATATCTGTATATCATTTCAGGGGTCAGTGACATTCAGAGATGTGGCCATAGACTTCTCCCAGGAGGAGTGGGAATGGCTTCAGCCTACTCAAAGAGATTTGTACAGACATGTGATGTTGGAGAACTACAGCCACCTGGTTTCGCTGGGTAAGTGTATTCCTTCTTATCTCCTCTAAGTCAGAATTTAAACTTGGGGACGGCTGTTGTAAATCTTGGTTTTCTGACTTAATATTCCCAAGGGAGGTATGTTAGTTTTCTTTTTGTTTGTTTTTTACATTCATTCATTCATTATTTTAGGGAGAGAGAGGGAGAAGGAGTGTGTGAGTGGGGAGGGGCAGAGGGAGAAGGAGGGAGAGAATCCTAAACAGGCTTCACGTTCAGCAAGGAGCGTAATGTGGAGCTTGATCCCACAAGGCTGGGATCTTGACCTGAGCTGAAATCAAGAGTTGGGCGCTCAACTGACTGAGCCACCAGATAGCCCTCTTTTTTAACTTTTTAAGATGGATTATAAGCACTGAATTCTTAGCGTTCATGTTTACATCTGGTAGATATTTCTTTTTCTTTTTTTTTTTTCTTAATGTTTTTATTTATTTTTGAGACAGTGAGAGACAGAACATGAGCAGGGAAGGGGCAGAGAGAGAGACAGAATCAGAAACAGGCTCCAGGCTCTGAGCCGTCAGCACAGAGCCCGATGCGGGGCTCGAACTCACAGACTGTGAGATCATGACCTGAGCTGAAGTCGGACGCTCAACCGACTGAGCCACCCAGGCGCCCCAAGATATTTCTTTTTTGAAAAAATTTATTTTTTTATTTTTAACATTTATTTATTTTGAGAGAGAGTAAGTGAGCGGGGGAAGGGCAGAGAGAGAGGGAGAGAGAGAATCCCATGCAATCCATGCTGTTAGCGCAGAGCCTGACACAGACACTTAACTGACTGAGCCACCTAGGTGCCCCTAAAGATTTTATTTTATTTTTATTTTTTATTTATTTTTAATTCTTTTTTAACGTTTGTTTATTTTTGAGACAGAGAGAGACAGAGCATGAATGGGGGAGGGTCAGAGAGAGGGAGACACAGAATCTGAAACAGGCTCCAGGCTCTGAGCTGTCAGCACAGAGCCCGACGCAGGGCTCGAACTCACGGACCATGAGATCATGACCTGAGCTGAAGTCAGCCGCTCAACCAACTGAACCACCCAGGCGCCCCTAAAGATTTTATTTATTTATTTATTTAAAAAAATTTTTTTTTCAACGTTTTTTATTTATTTTTGGGACAGAGAGAGACAGAGCATGAACGGGGGAGGGGCAGAGAAAGAGGGAGACACAGAATCGGAAACAGGCTCCAGGCTCTGAGCCATCAGCCCAGAGCCTGACGCGGGGCTCGAACTCACCGCGAGATCGTGACCTGGCTGAAGTCAGACGCTTAACCGACTGTGCCACCCACGCGCCCCCAAAGATTTTATTTTTAAGTAATTTCTACATGCAGTGTGGGGCTCAAACTCACAACCCTAAGATCAAGAGTTGCATGCCCTACCAACTGAGCCAGCCAGGTGCTCCTCCATCTGGTATTTCTTTAAAAAAAATTTTTTTTAAATATTTATTTTTGAGAGAGAGAGAGGGTGCGTGTGAGCATGAACAGGCAAGGGGCAGAGAGAGAGAGAGAGAGAGAGAGAGAGAGAGAGAGACAAAGAGAGACAATCCGAAGCAGGTTCCAGGCTCCAAGCTGCCAGCACAGAGCCTGATGCTGGGCTCGAACCCATGAACTGTGAGATCATGACCTGAGCTGAAGTCGGATGCTTAACTGACTGAGCTACCCAGGCACCCTTGGCATTTCTTTTAATGGCTCCTCTTCTAGGGACTGAAGGACTGATTTTGAATTTATTTCCTTTTCTGCAAGCAGGTCTTAACATTTCTAAGCCATATGTGGTTTCCTTATTGGAGCAAGGGAAAGAGCCCTGGTTGGAGAAAAGAGGTGTGAGAAGAGATCTGTTTTCAGGTGAGTAAGTTAATAACAACCCAACTAATCAATGAGAATGCAATGCTTTTTTGTATGTTGGTTGGAAAGTTTTCCCTTAAAGATAGCAGAGGTATGGAGACTATGAAGTCTTGCCCACACAGCTCCATAAGGAACCACGTTCACACCCACTTACCAGTCGGCCTTTAGTTCTCATCTTATGCTTTCCCCGCTTTCTTACAAATAGATGTGTGCTTTCTTTCCATCGTTAGCTCTGTCTGGGCTCTGGATTTCAATTCTTTTTGAATTCTCCTCCCTGTCTTTCTTGAAATTGACCTCTGTTTCTGTTGCCTAAGTTAAAAGGCATATATTTTTTCTGTGTACTACTGTTCCAGTTAGCCACCTTGGAAAGACTGATTCGTTGCTTTTTGGTTACCTGATGGCTTTATTCGTTCACTCACACATTCCTTTAATGTTTATTTAAAAGACTTTCTCTTAGGTGCTACAGAGAGTAGAAAATATAAAAAAGTATAATAACCACCAAAGAAATTATAGTCTAGTGAGATATAATAGGTCTGTAAATAATTTCATTAGATGTCCTCAAATTGTCAGTTCAGCAGTAAGGAAAAACGAATTCTATTTGTTTAGGACTAGATGATTTGGATAGGCATAGTAGTAATAGAAGCAGAAAAGACAGGAAAGAGATCAGTTTTGGAGAGTAAGTGCTGAATTAGTAAGGAGATGTGCTTGGTGTGAGTAGAGGATGGTGTTTCCAAGTGAAGAGATGCATAGGCTGTTGGAATAGATCACGGAAAACAGTTCAAGTTGAAGATGTAGATGTGGGAATTTTAACACTCAGAAGCAAAAATTAAAGCCCTGAGATTGAGCAGTGCCTGAAAACCTTCACCTTCAGTTGACAGTAGAATGGCTGGTGAAGCTCTTTAAAAACAAATGGCCGTGCCCTGCCCTGGAAGAGTCTATGGAGAGTAGACTTGAAGATCTATGGAGCCTAAATTCTTTATTTACGCAGGGTTCTGTAAGTTCTTTCGTTGATTCTGAAACGAACCTCTCCTGGAGGTACACTGACCTTCCACTGAGATAACCAGAGACTGCCTCCGTGTGCCGGAAGCAGCAGCTTGGAAGGACTGGTGAGGGAGCAGGAGCAGGTGTCAGGAACACTGAGCTCCATCTGTCGGGAGAGCGGTGGTTAATTGCATGTGCTGCGGACTTCCAGGAGGGTGTGGAAGGTACTGATGTGGGCTTAAGTCATGAGTGGAGCAAATGCAGGGAGAGTTCTTCATTTAAGTATGAGCTGAAGAACAGTGTCCTCTTGTACATGTAAAAATAACAAAACCAATAAAACTGTGTACAGGGGAAGGGAGGGAAAAATTGCCGCTAGTCCCACTACTTCCTCCCTCTCTCGCTTCCACCCATCTCTGTGCCCGGTGTGGGGCTTGAACTCATGACGTCAAGGATCGAGAGTCTAATGCTCTCCCGAGGGGCGAAGTGCCCCTCCGTTACCTTAATACAGCTTGTCCAGTTTTTGTGTGTTCATTCTAGTACCTCTGTCTCCCTTTTTTTTTTTTCAAACAGAGTAGGATTTATTGGTGGCACAAAGGTGGGGGCAGTGGTGCTGAGGTTCTCATGAATACAGGGCTTGCCTTGTGTCCAGGGGGCCACGATTAGGGATGTATTTGACCCCATAGTTATTTGGGATGAACTGTTTTTTCAGTCATCATATCTTCAAATTCATGCGCATTAGAGTTAGTGAAGCCCCACTTCTTGGAGATGTGGCTCTTCCGGCAGCAGGGAACTTGAACTTGGCCCTGTGTAGGGTGCCAATCACATGCTCCTTATTCTGCAGCTTGGTATGGATGGACATGATTTGGCCTGTGCGGACCCTGGCCATGGTGCCCTGGGGCTTTCCAAAGGCCCCCCCACGTGCCTATCTGGAGCCCAGATTGGGGATAGCATGAGGTCAGACATGAAGGTCCACTGGAAAGGACTGCCTCCTCTAAGGCAACTCATAGAAGCAACAGGCTGCATATATGACTGAGGAGGCTGCACACCAGGCCCCATGGGGAGACAGCACGGTTGGCTTAATTGGCTGCAGTCCAGTACATTTTTGAAAGGTGAAATATCACACAGAAATAATGCATAAAACATAAATCTGCAGCTTAACCAATTACTAAGACACCCATGTAACCACCACTCAGGTCAGTAAATAGAACGCTGCCAGGTCCCTAAGAACTTTCTGAGTGCTCACTCCTGCCCCCACTCAAAGGCAGCCTTCTCTTTAATGGGAGTAACTTACTTTGTTTTCTTTATAGCTTTGTCATCTGTTTGTGTCTGTAATCACTATAGTTTAGGTTTGTATGTTTGTGAACTTTACATAGAGGGGTTCATAATGTATATGTTGTGATTTGCTTCTGAAAAGTACTTTTAAGATTTATGCATTTTGCATATTACCCTAGAGGTCGTTTCATTGTACAGCTAAGCCTTCCCCCATTTATTCTATTATTGAGGCCTTCTTGGGTTGTTTGCGTTTTAGGGCTGTCGCAGGCAGTGTTACTATTGTCCCTGTATCCTGGCACGGGTTTCCTGGGGTGATATTTAGGGCTGGAATCGCTAGGTCAGAGGACAGTGACCCTCCTTCACATTATTAGCTAATGCCAAAATGTTTTCCACGGTGCTTTTACTGACTTACGTTCTCACAAACACCGTACGTGGGGTCCTCTTGTTCCCCAAACTCACCAATGCCCAAAAGTTCGGCACCATAATATTCAACTGTCAGAAGAGTGCGCAGTGGTAGCTTGTGGCTTAAACTTGCATTTCTGTGTCCTCCTCGTTAGGATAGTGGTGCGTGTCCCCACCTGTCATAAACTTGCATTTCTCTGATTACTAATGTGGTTGAGCACCATTCTGTGTGTTTATGGGATATTTAGATACCGTCATTTGTGAAGTGCCTCTTGAAGGTTTTTGCTCATGTATTGGATGACCTACCTTTTTCTTACCGATTTGTAGAAGCTACATATCTCAGATTCAGATTCTTTGCTAATTATTGTCACTCACTGCAAACATCTTCTCTCACATGTGGCCTACTTTCCCCCTTAGTAACTTTTTTTGATGGATGGAAATTCTTAATTTTAGTGTGGTCAGATTTACCAATCTTTCCCTTTATGGTTGGACTGTTTAAGAAACTGTTTCTTACCATGAGGTCATAATGAAGACATCTTCCTGTATTTTCTCTTAAAAAGCCTGGTCTTTATGCCATTCACATTTAGGTCCATAGCCTATTTTGAGCTTATTCTTGTGCGTCATGTGAGTTACTCGTCAGTTTTGATCCCTTCTGCGAGCAGATCCAGTTCTCATAGCACCATATACTGATGTGTCTGTCCTTTCCTTTTGTTGTCTTCAGTTTGTCATAACTTAAATACCATTTTTTGTGTATGTTTCTGGGTTCTCTGTTCTTTAGTGAATCTCTCTTTTTCTATCCTCGCATACATCTATTCAGTCTTAGTCATGGATTTAATAATGGATAACATTTTACTGTATTTGCCTTACGGCACCCTTTTTTTGCTGAATAATTTAAAAGTAAATTACAGGGGCACCTGGGTGGCTCAGTCTTTTAAGCGTCTGACTCTTGATTTTGGCTCAGGTCATGACCTCATGGTTTGTGGGTTTGAGCCCTGCGTCGGGCTGTGTGCTGTCAGCATGGAGCCTGCTTAGGATTCTCTCTCTGCCCCTTTCCTGCTTATGCTGTCTCTCTCTCTTTCAAAAGAAATTACATTAAAAAAAAATTTTTTTTAATAATAAAAAAAGTAAATTATAGACATCTCAACATTTCACTCTACAGTACTTCACTCTCAGTGAATAAATGGGACATTTCCTACATGAGCAAAATGTCATTTTTCATACCAAAATAACAGTTTTGCCTAGTATTTTTTAAATTATTTATTCATATAAGTTTTTAAATTTTTTGGGGGGAGAACGTGAGTGAGCAAGCACACACTGCAGGGCAGGGACAGAGAGAGGGAGAGCGGGTGAGTTGCCAGCAGGCTCCAGCCTCCACACTGAGCCCGATGCAGAGCTCGATCCCATGACTGTGAGATCATGACCTGAGCCAAAATCAAGTCAGTTGCTTAACTGACTGAGCCAATCCAGGTGCCCCTAGTATTTTTTTTTAAGTGCACTGTCCATACATAAATGCGTCACAAGTGCGTGCTGGTTGTCCTGCCCTGCAGGATAATGAAACGTTTCTGTTTCTCTGTATGTCCTGTAACTTTCATTGTAATGTATTCATTTTGATATTTTAAGACTTTGGGTCTTGTTTAAGTCACATTGAGATGTTAATTTTATTTAAGCAAGTTTGAAGCCATCAGTTCTAACCTCTCTCCTATGTATGCGGCTCCGGGACAGCCCTGTCTTTAAAGGCTTTGTGGGGGGCGCCTGGGTGGCGCAGTCGGTTAAGCGTCCGACTTCAGCCAGGTCACGATCTCGCGATCCGTGAGTTCGAGCCCCGCGTCAGGCTCTGGGCTGATGGCTCAGAGCCTGGAGCCTGTTTCCGATTCTGTGTCTCCCTCTCTCTCTGCCCCTCCCCCGTTCATGCTCTGTCTCTCTCTGTCCCAAAAATAAATAAACGTTGAAAAAAAATTTTTTTAAAGGCTTTGTGGGTCTGTTGTACTTGTCTTGCATGTGCACCTCCTACTGGCCTTTCCGAACTTGCGTGGTTTGTTCCCCTTTGTTTCCGTTTTCACAGTTTCTAGTATGTGATGCAGAGTCAGATCCATGCACGTGCAACTCAGGGATGAGCCCAGGATTTCATACACAACTTTACGGGAGCACTTTCCTGAGCTACCTCTCCTACACGTTTTGGCTCCCGGGCCCCCCTCTTTCAAGTCTTCTGGGTAGAAAGGCAGACCTTTAGTTTCCCCTCTGCTCTGTATTTCCTGCAACTGTGTCTGCCTCTGCAGCTGAGTAACAAGGAGACAGGGAGAAAAAGAATAAAAATGGGTGGGATCCCTGTGCTCTTGGGAACACGGATTTTTCTGCTGAGAGAGAAAACTCCTTTCGTAGAGTTTTAAGAGCCTGTATGGCCACCACTGCTGCTAGATGCCTTGGGGTTAGGCAGGAATGGGAAATGAACAGACAAAAGATAAGATTTCTCTCTGACTAGTATAGACCCTCTTTCCCATTCCTCAGACCAGAAATAGAGGCTTCTCTGGGAGCTCTTTCTCCTCATACCTACTGCCCAGTTCCTGGTTTCATGCTGCCTTTGGCTTTAAGCCTGGAGAGTTTGGAGGGGGAAAAAAACCTAAGAAACTCACCACCAGTTCACTGTTAACTTTAAGGTCTGATTTCCTTCTCTAATCACCTTGCTACCCTTTACTTTTTAGGGCTCTTAGATGTGCATTCTGTGCACAGCGTTTACCTACATGCAGTAGGAGAGACAGGTCAGAGTGCACGAACTCCATCTTTACACGACTGGAACCATTCATCTTGTGTTTTGTAAGTGGAAAAAAAAAAGCAAAGTTACAGCGTGTAGAAAGAGGATACTAATAAAATGAGAATAGGAAGTTCAGTCTAGATTGAACAGGAGTATAAAGTAAAGTAAAAGGAGGAAAATGGTGGGGATTAAGGATGGTTAGGGAAAACATCGGTCAGATCGTGCAGGTGCTTTACAAGCCATGTTAATGAACCTAGAGCTCCTCCCTATTAGGGAGTCATTAAAAGATTTTAGGCAGGTGAGCGTTTTATCTTAGCTAACGTTTGGAAAACAGGTTTGTCGGAAGCAAGACTAGGAAACAGCTCTCATTTAAGAGGTGTTGCCGTGACCTCGGCCAGATGTAATCATCACATGAAGTATGGAGGGGTCCAGGGAATGAGTGGAGGAACGCAGGTTGGTAACAAACTAAGGAAGTGGACTCAAAGGGACCTGGAGAAGCCTGAGGAAATGTAGTTGACAGCACTCTCCATGGCGTTACTGGGGGAAAAAAAAAAGTGAAGGGGAAGGAAAGACTGTCAATTTGTGACTGAGTTTTGGGGCTTTGTGGGATACTTGAATATATCAGTTCAGTAGGTAACTGGGTATCATTCTGGAGCTTAAAGAGATCACAGTGCTTCTCAAATTTCAGTCATTTTGAGAGTTTTAAAGCACATATTTCAGACCCTACTCTGGAAAAATCTAAGTCATTACATTTGGTTTAGAACCCAAGAATCTGCATTTTTAATTTTTTTAATTTATTTTGAGAGAGGGAACACGTGAGAGAGCGTGAGTGGGGGAGAGGCCGAGAGCATCCTAAGCAGGCTCCACGAGGACAGTGACACAGGGCTCAATCTCAACGAACCATGAGATCATGACCTGAGCTGAAATCAAGAGTCAGATGCTTAACTAACTGAGTCATGCAGGCGCCCCAAGAATTTGCATTTTTTTAAGTTCATTTATTTTGAGAGAGAGAGAGAGAGAGTGCGAGTAGGGGAGGGGTAGAGAGAGAGGGAGAGAGAGAATCCAAGCAGGCTCTGTGCTGCCAGTGCAGAGCCTGATGTGGGGCTCAAACTCACGAAACCGTGAGATCCTGACCTTAACCCAAACCAGGAGTCATACGCTTAACTGGCTTAACCGAGGTGCCCCCCAAATTTGTATTTTTAACAAGCTCCCAGATGCCGATACTGAGCTAAAGTACATATATGGGAGTTATTTTCACAGCTTCTTAAAATGTTGAATCTTCCATGTAAACTCCCTGCATTCCCTGTATGTTGTTGAACTTATTCTTAAGCAGCTTTACCTAGTTTCTTTTTTTACAAGTCATATTGCTTTTCTGCAGGAATGCTAGTGAATTTGTATATTTATATCCCTCAGTCTTTATTGTAGCAGTAAAAATACCCTAAACCTTTCTTTGCTATAAATACTGTAATGCTTTTTTTTAAATTAATAAACTTCTTAAAAAGTAGTTTTAGGTTCACGTCAAAATTAAGTGGAAGGTACAAAGAGTTCCTATATACCCCACCCCCACCACAACTACTGACACTGTGGACATCCCATACCACAATCTCATATCACAATAGTACATTTGTTACAACTGATGAACCTAGATTGACACATCATCACACAAAGTCCATAGTTCACATTAGAGTTCATTCGTGGTGTTGTGTGTATTCTGAGGGTTTTGACAAATGTATAATGAATGACATGTGTCCACCATTTTAATAGCGTACAGAATACTTTTACTTTCCTAAAAATGCTTCACGATCTGCGTGTTCCTCTCCCCCCACCCCGCCCTGCAACCCCTGGCAAACACTGATCTTTTTATTATCTCCATGGTTTTGCCTTTTCCAGTGTGTCATATGGTTGGAATCATACAGTACTTAGCGTTTTCACATTGGCTTCTTTCACTCAACATTGTGCATGAAAAGTTCCTTTATACCTTTTCATGGTTCAACAGTTTGTGTCTTTTTAGTGCCGAATAACATTCTATTGTCTGGATGAAGTACAGTTTACTTTTGCATTCTCCTACTGAAGGATATCTTGGTGGCTTCCAAGTTTTGGCAATTTTAAAGAAAACTGGTATAAACATTCATATGCAGGCTTTTGTGTGAACATAACTTTTGAATTAATTTGGGAAGATACCAAAGAGTGCAATTGTTGAATCATGTGGTGAGAGTATGTTTGGTTAAGAAACTGCCAAACTATTTTCCAAAGTGGTTCTACCATTTTGCATCCCCACCAGCAATGAATGATAGTTCCTGTTGCTTCACATCTTTGCTAGCATTTGATGTTAGTGGATTGGATTTTGGCCATTCTAATAAGTGTGTACTGGTATCTCATTTTAATTTAGAATTCTCTCATAACATGATGTCGAATATCTTCCCATATTCTTACTTGCTACCTGTGTATCTTCTTTGGTGCAGTGTCTATTTGGGTCTTTTGTCCAATTTAAAATTGTATCGTTCATTTTCTCATTGAGTTTTAAGAGTTCTTTGTATATTTTGGATGCTAGGTCTAAACAGATATGTCTTTTGCACATATTTTATCCCAGTTTGCAGCTTGTCTTCCCATTCTCTTGACGCTGGTTTTTGCAGAGCATAAGTTTCTTATTTTAATGAAGTCCATCCAGCTTATCAATTACTTTCATAGATCATGCTTTTGGTTGTTGTATCTAAAAAGCCATTGCCATATCTAAGGTCATCTAGGTTTCCCCGTGTTATCTTCTAGGAGTTTTATAGTTTTGTGTATTACATTTAGGTCTATGACCATTTTGAGTTAATTTTGGTCAAGAGTGTAAGGTCTGTGTCTTAATTCATTTTAATGCATATGGATGCATAGTTGTTCCAGGACCCATTGTTGAAAAGATGTCTTTGCTCCTTTGTTAAAGATCAGTTGACTATAATTATTCTGGTCTATATCTGAGTTCTCTACTCAGTTCCATTGATCTACTTGTCTTTCTCTAGAACCAAACTGTCTTCATTACTATAAGTTTAGAGTAAGTCTTCAGGTTAGGTAGTATCAGTCCTCCGACTTTGTTCTTTCCCTTAAATACTCTGTTAGGTATTCTAGGTCTTTTGCTTCTCAATATAAACTTTAGAATAAGTTTGTTGAGATCTGTAAAATTGCTTTCTGGGATTTCATTGAGTCTGTAGATCAGGTTGGTAAGTGTTGTAGACTCTAAGTCTAAAGTTCTCTCTTGTCTAGCAAAGGAGCGGGATACAGGATTAAAGCGAGAGATGGCTAATGTCTGGGAATAGACAAGAGCACTGAATAAGGGTCTTTGCCCCGTTTTTATTGGGATCAGAAGGCTAACATGGTGACGGATGTGCACAAAGTGACAATGAATCTGTGAACATTAACTCATGGACGTGGCGGAAAGGGGGTCTTGAAGATATTTGGGGTTAGGTGTTTGGGTTAATACAAAACAAAATCCTGGCGCCGGGCGGCGGGGCGGAAGGTTGTTTACAGTGGACATGGGGCACCACCTCTGTTTATCTCCGCCTAGGGGATGAGACAGGTAGGGCGAGTAACCTCAGGGTTGACAAGGCACCTTTTCTTTTGTTAACCATCTCTGCTCAGGGCAACTTTGCCTGCAGCACAGAGTAGCGTCTATAGCCCAATTTACCTGTTTATCTAACTTGGTCCTTCCCTCCTTTCTGCTATAGTACTAAATTGGGGGGCACTTCTGCCCTGAATGCCTAATCTTGTTTATTTCACATACCTCTGTTCTATATTGGTACCTTTGCACCTCCCTATTCTGGGGCCTTTTCCCCTCCCTCTCTATTCTGGGGGCTCTGCACCCCCTCGCTGTTCTCGGGTGCCTTTGCCCCTCCCTCTCTATTCTGGGGTGCCTTTGCACCTCCCTGTTCTGGGGTCCTGATCTTATTACCCAAACTCGGGTGTGAGCATCTTATGGCTTTGTCCTTCTTTATGCCTTTGTAACCCATTGGTGTAAGCCCCGGGGGATTCCTAAGCTTATTTCCCACAGGTAAGAATTGACATCTTGACAATATTGAGGCTTCTTATGAGTGTGGAATATTTCTGTCTCTCCTGTTACTTCTTATTTCATATCTTTCATCAGAGTTTTGTAGTTTTCCTCATACAAATCTGGTACATGTTCTATTGGGTTTATACCTAAGTATTTCATTTTTTTTTTTGGTATGCTAATACAAATAGTAATGTCTCAGTTTCATACTGCATTTGTTCATTGCTGGTGTATGGGAAAGACTGACTTTTGTACATTGACTTTGTATCCTGCAACTTTGTTATAATTACGTATTCCAGGTTTTTGGTAAGTTTTCTCAGAATCTCTGCATAGATAATACTGATATCTGCCAAAAAAAAAGTTTTATTTCTTCCTTGCCAATCTGTATACCTTTTATTTACTTTTTATGTCTTTTTTTTTAATGTTTGTTTTTGAGAGAGAGAGAGAGAGAGAGAGAGAGAGCGCGCGCGCGCGCACGAGTGGGGGAGGAGCAGAGAGAGAGGGAGACACAGAATCTGAAACAGGCTCCACGCTCTGAGCTGTCAGCACAGAGCTTGATGCGGGGCTCGAACTCACAAACCATGAGATCATGACCTGAACCGAAGTCGGACGCTCAACTGACTGAGCCACCCAGGATCCCCTCGGGTTTTTTGTTTTTTTTTTTTTTTTAGTGTTTATTTTAGAGAGAGAGAGAGAGAGAGAGAGAGAGAGAGAGAGAGAGAGACCAACAGAGCATGAGCCAGGGAGGGGCAGAGAGAGAGGGAGACACAGCATTGGAAGCAGGCTCCAGGCTCCGAGCTGTCAGCACAGGGCCTGACACGGGGCTTGAACTCATGAACCACGAGATCGTGACCTGAGCTGAAGTCAGACGCCTAACTGACTGACCCACCCAGGCACCCTCTTTTCATGTCTTTTTACATTAACTAAGAATTCCATCATGGCATTGAAAAGCAGTGCTGAGAAGGGACATCCTTCCTGTGTTCACATTTAGCAGGAAAGCTTCAGATTTTTCACCATTAAGTCTGACGTTACCTGTAGATTTTTCGGTGTTCTTTATAGCTTGAGGAAATTCCACTCTATTCCTAATTTGTTGAGGTGTTTTTGTTTTGTTTTGTTTTTTTTTTATGAATGGGTGTTGGATCTTGCAAGGCATGTCTCCTGATGGTATGTTTCCTCAGTTTTTGTCTCAGAAAATCTTTATTTCTCCTTCACCTTTGAAGTATAATTTTGTAGGGTACACAATTCTAGGTGGTGGATTTTTTTCTGTCAATATTGTAGTACGTGAAGTACTTCCTCAATGATCTTAAGTAACGTGATAGAGGATTTTTTTTTTTTCATGAGAAGAGAGTCAATGCATCTAAAATTTTTTGCTTTGAGCATATTAGGTTTTGATTTATCATAGGAACCCTTTGTTACATTAAGAATGAATCTTTGTATCTCTTTAGGCTTTTAATAAGTGTAAGTGCTTTGTTATAGCAGATCCATTTGGGAATTACCAAAAAGCGTGTGGGCATAGTAGGCGATGGAAGAAGGGGAGGTGATGTTGAGTGAAGGAAGAGGGGGGTGAGGAATATATAATTAGCATTCTATTTATGTCTTGTACCTAATTTTCTTGGTTGTGCTTTTTGACTCTCAATGGTCTGGGAAACCATATGGCAGATAATATACTAACTCTGTGCAGTTAACATCAATGGCTTTTTCTAATATCATGAAATATCTAGGTTCACCTGACTTATAATATATTTCAGTTCCCAACTAATTTCCTGAATGAAGCCTTTGTTTATCTGTTGCAGTGATTTTTATGTGTTGTTTCTGATCTCTTTTATACAATTTTTATTCTAAATATAATGAATTTACTCCTTTCTTACATTATTAATTGTTTTCTTCTGTGTCCTCTTTATCTCCCTATTTAATTTCTCAGCTCATGAAAAGAATTATTCAGTTTATATCCCCAGGGCTCTTACTGAGGTGCTCAGTAGATATGAGATTGGTTTATAGAGGAGTCAGGAAAGTAATGTGAGATTTTCCCTTTATTGGGGCACCTGGGTGGCCTAGTTGATTAAGCATCCGACTTCAGCTCAGGACATGATCTCGCAGGTTCAAGCCCCGTGTCGGACTCTGTCTGACAGCTCGGAGCCTGGAGCCTGTTTCGGATTCTCTGTCTCCCTCTCTCTTTGTCCCACGCTGCTTGTGCTCTCTCTCTGTCTCTCAAAAATAAATAAGCATTAAAAAAAAATATTTTTGCTTTATTGAGATCATTTTCTTAACTGTTATTTCACTCTTTCCTGTATCCTAATCTTTCATTTTTACATGCCTACCCTATAAATATAGATCTTGATCCTTTGTTCAGATAGGTATTAAAGCAATAGATCTATTTATATTTCCTAGAAGCTTATGGTCAGTGATAATAAAAGATAGCACCCCCTCAAACAAAATAAATGTCACAGTGTGTTTTAGAGGAAAATGAAGTTTTTAATGTGTTTTTGGATATAATTTTAAACTTCCAGAAAGCTTGCAAGAATAGTATAAAGAATAACCACAAGCTTGTTACTGAAATTTACCTACTGCGGACATTTTACCTTGTTTGTTCTATCCTTTGGTATATGCTTTTTTTTCTTGAAACATCTGAGAATAAGTTGCATACGTCATGGCCTTTTACTCCTACATATTTCCTAAGAATTAGGATATGAGTGAATATATTTTTTAAAAAGCCTTCATATTATTCATATTATAGTTTCTGTTTCCCCCCCAAAATGATAAAGTTAGCCTGGAGAAAATCGGGGCCTATGTTTGTCTATCAAAAGCATCTGATGGAAAGACACTGTTATACCAAAGTAGAGTGTCAGCTGTCAGTTTGGAAAGTAGAGTTAGAGTGAGGGTCATAGACCGTTATTGTCAGAGGTACCTTTTACTTATTTGGCCATTTAGAATAAGTTACTGTAAGGTGTTCCAAAGGCATTAAGTAAACAGAGGGTAATGTCTTTGTGGGACGTGAGGAACATTTGTGGTTTATTAGCAGCATTATGAAATTGTCTTTCTCAAGTCATTTTGGCCTCAGATAAAGTTTAAGTGGAGCTGAGGACTAAAACCCATCCTTCCCAATTATTTATCTTCGTGTTCTGTTTTATCCTCCCTCTTCAGTTACTTCTACTTAGCTTTTCTTGTTATTTACCTACATCTCCCCTCTGATATGTTCTGAATTTCTGGGCTTACTGTTCTGATTTCAGTCTCCACGAGAACTACAAAAACTGTGAAAGCTATGCACTGCTGAGATGCCTTTTTAAAAAATCTCTCATTAAAAAAGTGAGGAGTGGCTTTATCTTACTCAACACAGAAAAAAAGAGAAACAACTGCTTTGTTTTTTCATTTTCAGAACCAAATCGTGAGGTCAAAGAGTTTTCTCAAAAAAATGTCATTTATGAAGATGACTCACCCCAGTGTTTGGTAGTGGAAAGAATTCTAAGCCACGGCCCTGAATATTCCAGTTTTAAAGGAGGCTGGAAATTCGAGGAAGATACTCAGATGCAAGGAAATCAGGGGTGTATCCGGCAAGGAACAGTGTCTCATCAGGGAGCCCTGTCTCAGCACACGAGTATCAATACCGTGGAGAGGCCCCATGGATGTCATGAATGTGGGAAGACTTTCAGTCGGCGCTTTTCCCTTGTGCTACATCAGAGAACTCATACTGGAGAGAAACCATACGTATGTAAGGAATGTGGCAAAACCTTTAGCCAGATCTCAAACCTTGTGAAACATCAGATGATACATACTGGAAAGAAACCCCATGAGTGTAAGGACTGTAATAAAACGTTCAGTTATCTCTCATTCCTCATTGAACACCAGAGAACACATACTGGGGAGAAACCCTATGAATGTACTGAATGTGGAAAGGCCTTTAGCCGTGCCTCAAACCTCACTCGACATCAGAGAATTCATATAGGAAAGAAACAGTATATATGTAGGAAATGTGGGAAAGCCTTTAGCAGTGGCTCAGAACTCATTCGCCATCAGATTACACATACCGGAGAGAAACCTTATGAATGCATTGAATGTGGGAAGGCATTTCGCCGTTCTTCACATCTTACTCGGCATCAGAGCATCCATACTACCAAAACCCCCTATGAATGTAATGAGTGTAGGAAAGCCTTCCGATGCCACTCATTCCTTATTAAACATCAGAGAATTCACGCTGGAGAAAAGCTCTATGAATGCGATGACTGTGGTAAAGTTTTCACGTGGCATGCATCCCTTATGCAACATATGAAAATTCATACTGGAGAAAAGCCCTATGCATGTACTGAATGTGATAAAACCTTTAGCCGGAGCTTTTCCCTCATTCTACATCAGATAACTCACACTGGGGAGAAGCCCTATGTATGTAAGTTTTGCAATAAGTCCTTCAGCTGGAGCTCAAACCTTGCCAAACATCAGAGAACACACACTCTAGAGAACCCTTATGAATATGAGAATTCATTTAATTATCACTCGTTCCTTACTGAACACAAAGAAATTCACGCTATAGAGAAAACATAAGAATATGGATGAAGAAAAGCAAACAGTTAATGCCTTAACTTTGACTTCAAAGGATTCTTGGAAAAAAGCCTTATGTGAATATGTTCAATGTGAAGAAAAATGGGTCATACTTGATTCAACATCCTGGAGAAAAAATAACCTAGGAATATGTGGGAAAGCCATTAATAGCTTTGCATTCTTTTTGTAATATCAGAAGATGAAATCAGTCAATACTGAGAAGCCTTCATTTGGTGAGATTCCCTTACTCTACATTTGTAACTTCCTACCAGACAAGGATACGTGGCCAATAGATGTGAGAAAGCTTTTAACTAGAAATTGGCCCTAATTCTGCATCTGTCGGCTCAAACAGGGCAGAATGTGTGGGTAAGATTGCACTTTTTCTTGGACATCAGAAAATTCATAATGAAGCAAAGTCATGCAAACACAATGATTCAGGAGTGTTTTTTGTACCATGCAGTATTTATTAGGTTTTAAAATACTCTTCTAAAGAGAAAACACAACACTATAAATGAACTGAATATAGGGTGATTTTCTGCATTATATCAAACTACAGAATTATACTGGGGGAAAAACTACCATTGTAATGAGTGTGGCAAAATCTTAAGAGTTCTGAGAAGTCATACTGGAGGGAATCTGTGGGAGGTTTTTTTTTTTTTTTTTTTTTTTTTTTTTTTTTTTTTTTTCTTCTTTTTTTGGGGGTGAGGTGATTTTTGCTTTAAAGCAAATTCAAAAAGCTATGAATAAATATTTTATTTTCTAGTTAATTAATCTAGTACTTGCAGAGTTTTTTCCACACATTTGTGATTGTGAAAATGCAACTACCACAATATCAATATCACTAACAAGAGTAATGCGCTTTTGTTGAAACATACATGATTACTGAAACCTTTTTAATATATTATGGCTTTAACTGTGAGACAATTTAGATTTAAGGTTATGCTAACTCATGTTTATCCTTGAATATGACTAGACCTGTTTTAGTCTGAAATAAATGTAAATAAGGTGTGTCACAGGAAAATGCCAAGGTACTTTTCCTCTTGTTCCATTTACAGTAGGAACATTTCTTTTGTAAGCACGTATTTGTCAAAATAAATCAGATGATGTTTTCACTCTCCATGTACACCTTGCCCATTTTTTAATGTCCCAGTTAAAGGTGTATCTTTCAAGCATCTGTCTGCCTCCTTTTAAGAACTTACCTTGCATTTAATATAGATAATATGCAGCTTAGCACTTGAATAAGTGCCTTATTTAAGTCTGTTTTTTTCATGTATGGGTAAATCTTTCACAAAGTGAGAGGCTGGCATTTTTCTCTCCTACTCCTTGTGACATACATCGCTGCTGCCTAATAATTTTCTCCAAGCCTCAATCTCTACCAGAACAACTCCGTGGTACAAATCCTCCCTTTCCTTTGGTGTGCCTGGCATTATTTTCCTAGCACCATATGGGGGTCTTTGGTGAGCAAAAATGTATTTATCATTTTAATTTTTTTAATGTTTTATTTTATTTTTGAGACCAAGAGACAGAGCATGAGCGGGGAGGGTTAGAGAGAGAGGGAGACACAGAATCCGAAGCAGGCTCCAGGCTCTGAGCTGTCAGCACAGAGCCCGACGCGGGGCTCGAACTCACAGACGGTGAGATCATGACCTGAGCCGAAGTCGGAAGCTCAACCAACTGAGCCACCCAGGCGCCCCAAATGTATTTATCATTTTAGAGGTTTGTAACATTGAGATGCGGCCATAGACTTGTCTCAGGAGGAAGGGGCTGATTGGACCCTGAGCAGAAGTTATATGGGAACATGATGACTGACAACTATGGGAACCTCATCCAAGGTTACTATTCCTGCAAATTTAGAACCTGAACTTAGGTATCTTTGCTTTCTCTTTAGGAAATAGGGAGTGGGCTTTAAATTGCCCACCTGGATTCCTTCTCCATATTCTTGAGAGAATGAATTAAAATTGGTACAAGTGGGAAGTGGCTTGCTTGTTTCCTTCTGCTTTTGTTTTTCTTGTAATAGCTTTTCTGCCTTTATATTAAGAGATTGGGTCTGGATCTAGGAGGAACCATAATATTTTGAAGTATCTATTTTTTCCCTCTTGTAAGCAGGACTCTCTGTTTCTAAATCAAATGTGACCTCCTTACTGGAGCAAGGGAAAGAATCAAAGAATGATGGAGAAAAAATGATAAGAGGCCTCTGATCAGGTAAGGGTGGGGCAATCAGGCAGGGAGCACCTTTGCAGGTAGTGGCCCAGCTTACCAAATTGCCTGAATCATTCTTTCAAAAATAACAATTTGCCCATAAAATTCCCTTCATGCAACATCATCCTGAACTATGTAACTCATCCTAAAGGTATTCTCAATTTGTGGTTGAGATATTTCAGAAAATAAGAACTATGCCATTATTTTTAATTAAATTTAAATACGTAGTTTCTAGATTATACAATAAGAGATGTCAAGACACTACTAAGTAAGAAAGAAAGTGAATGGTTTGTGGGAATTCTGTTACACAGTATGTTTTATTTGTCATAGCAAGAAGGTGCTGGCAAGGTTCATAGTTGCTTTCTTTTCTCAATTTTAGCACACAAATCTTACATCTTTCCATATTTAACATAATCACTTTTTGTAAGCTGTAGTGCTTTCCAATGGTAGCGGAAGCCCAAAAAAGAAAGTTGCCTATTTTTCAAGGAGAAATTCTGCAAAAATAGCCAGACACACTAAGATATAACAGCAAACAGTAGGAGAAAAACGTATGGATGATATTGCATTTTATTTTTTGTAATGTTTCTTTTTGAGAGAGACAGAGCATGAGCGGGGGAGAGGCAGAGAGAGAGGGAGACACAGCATCTGAAGCAGGCTCCAGGCTTTGAGCTGTCTGCACAGGACCCGACGTGGGGCTTGAACCCACAAACTGTAAGATCGTGACCTGAGCTGAAGTCGGACGCTTAACCGACTGAGCCACCCAGACACCCCGATACTGCATTTTAGGTCACTTGTAGAACATAATATTATTTCAGTTCCTATTTGTATGCTTGAGACAGAAACAATGGTGATCTATAGTATGACCATCTCAATACACATGAGGGGGTAAACATCCAGCTTGAACGCTTTTTTTTTTTTTTTTTTGAGAGAGAGAGAGAGACAGAGAGAGAGAGAGAGAGAGAGAGAGAGAGAATGAGCAAGGAAAGGGGAGAGGGAGAGAGAATTTTAAGCAGGCTCTGTGCCCAGTGCAGAGCTCAACACGGGGCTCAATGTGGGGCTCTATCCCATGATCCTGGGATCATGACCGGAGCCAAAATCAGGAGTTGGGTGCTTAACTGACTGAGTCAACCAGGTGATCCCCAGCTAAAGCATTTTGATCTATGTAGTAGTTTGTATTTCAAACACAATTTTCTTAGGATTGCATATTTGAGATGTGTAAAGTTTAGTGAAACATGCTCAGGAATGCAACCATTATTTGAACTGAGACAGACACAGTATTTTCATTATTCTGTTGTCCTTTGTTCAGTTATCCATATAGTATAAAAGCATCATACTCCAAATGAATAGGTCTATCCTTTATAGAAGAGCACATTGGGTAGTCATTCACATAACACATGGTATCTTCTGGAATATGACTTCTGTATAATTACTGTGGGAAATCTTCCTGAATTGAGTTTACCTTTGGAATAATTATATTGTATACTGTCAAGCTAAGTCTACAGCTGAATGACTGTCCACATCTGGCAACTCCTAGATGCAGCTGTCGTGCTGTTGTGAGTGTAGAATGTGTACCAGTTTTTACTGTTCTCTCTTCAAATGAATGTGATGTTACTATCAGGTTGGATTCCACTGCTACTTCTAATGTTTTCAACAAGTCTACTTTCAAATAGGATAAAGTATTGTGGCAACAACCAGATAAAGCAGATAAAATACACATATATTTTTACTGGGTTTTTTTTTTTTTAATGTTTATTTTTGAGAGCGAAAATGCGAGCCGGGGAAGGGCAGAGAGAGAGGGAGAGAATTCCAAGCAGGGTCCACACTGTCAACACAGAGCCCAATGCAGGGCTTGAACCCACAAACCGTGAGATCATGACCTGAGCCAAAGTCGGATGTTTAATCAACTGAGCCCAGACGCCCCTTTAGTAGTTTTTTGTTGTTTTTTAAATGTGTATTTATTTGAGAGTGTGAGTGGAGTAGGGGCAGAAAGAGAGAGAGAATCCCAAGCAGGCTTTGTGCTCCCAACATGGAGCCCGATGTGGGGCTTGATCCCACCAAACATGAGATCATGACCTGCGCTGAGATTAAGAGTCAGGTGCTCAACCGACCGAGCCACCCAGGTGCCCCTCAAAAATCATATTTTTAAAGGCATATTTGAACTGTGGAAGCAATGATGACTAAATGGACCAAAATTCCAGAGGGAAATCTCAAGTTTTTGCCGTCATTTGAAGGTGACGTGGCAGATTAGCAACTTGAGAAGCTTCAAGTGCACACAGCTGGTTCCCTCTCCTGGGACATTTGCTGAATTTTAGGGCTGTGCATAACTCTGGGTGGTTAGAATAAAAGCTGAAAGAGTGAAGTATCCGCAGTGTCTGTGGTACTTAGGAATGAAAAGCCCACTAGAGATGGGCGACTGCCCAAAATAAGTAGCCAGTCTTCTCCTCAAGCCATCTGTGAAAATTTGAAGCTGCATGAGGTAGGAGGTTAAGGAGACTAGGACCTACCAAGCCCTCAGATTTAAAAGCTTTAGGAGAGTCCTGCCTAAAATACAAAGGCTAAACAAGGCTAACATGAGGCTTATTAAAAATGCAGTGTAGCTCTGAGCCAGCTCAAACTTATGGGACTGAGGTGATTAGCACCTCAAACAGAGGAAAGGAGAAACTCTCTGGTAGAAGGTAATGTAACCTAGAGCCCCTGTGGTTCTTTTAAACATGATGTCTGGTACACAATTAAAAAACAAATTACTAGGCATGTGAAGGACAGGAACATATATAGATATATACTTCATTTTAGTGTGCTTTGCAGATACTTTTTTTTTTTTTAAACAAATTGAAGGTTTGTGGCGACCCTGTGTTGGACAATTCTATCTGTGCCATTTTTCCAACAGTATTTGCCCACTGTATGTCTTTGTGTCACATTTTGGTGATTCTCATAATATTTATTTTTCGTTAATATTATATTGAATTGCTGCAATCTCATGATAAAATTTTAACAGATGAGGAGTTGCTTCTTATCAATGAGCAAAGAAGGTGGTTCCTTGAGATGGGATCTAGTCTTGGTGAACATGCCGTGAAGATTGTTGAAATGACAAAGGATTTAAATTACTACATAAACTTAGTTGACAAAGCAGTGGCAGGATTTGAGAGCGCTGACTCTAATTTTGAAGGAAATTCTACTCTGGGTATAAAGCTATCAAACAGCATCATATGCTATAGTGAAATCATTCTTGAAAGGAAGAGTCAATTGATGGGTCAAACTTCTTTATCTTAAGAAATTGCCACAGCCACCCCAGCTTTCAGCAACGACCACCCTGATCAGTCAGCAGCCATCAACAGCAAGGCAAGATACTCTACCAGCAAAAAGATTATGAGTCACTGAAGGCCCAAGTGGTGGTTGGCATTTTTTTTTTTTTTAGCAAGAAAGTATTTTAAAAACTAAGGTGTGTGGTTTTTTTAAATAGAAATTAACAATATAGCACACTTTATAGACTGAAGAGTAAACATAACATATGCACTGGGAAACAAAAAAAAAATCATTTGACTTGCTTTCTTGCGATATTACGCTTTACTGTAGTGGTCTGGAACTGAATCCACAGTATCTCTGAGGTATGCCTGTAATCAATAAGAAACAAAACAGACGAGAGAAGCAGACATACAGGTGCCTAGATATTGGGGGTTTTAGACAAGGATTTTGATGTATGGTTAATATGTTAAAATACAGGAAAGAATGGAAGAAAAAACAATTTCAACTAGTAAGAAGAATCTATAAAAAAGGCAAGTGGCTATTCTAGAATTGAAAACACCATATCTGAAATTAAGAATTGAATAGATAGACTAAACACAAATTGAATACATAACTAGAGATAGTAAACTGGAAGGTGAATCAATAACAAAATACTGAAACAGAGACGGGGGAGGGGAGAGAAAGAGAGGAAAAATATGCCATGGTCTGAATGACGACTTTGACTCTTGTTCTATTCAGAAAGCTCTCCTGTTCCCCCCACCCCGCCAAGGAGGACTACTACCTTTCCTTCAGATTCCGGCTGATGGTCACCTGGGGACCTTTCTTGACTGCCTTATCTAACACAGGTGCCCTTATTCTTATCCCACCATCTTACTTGTTTCCCTCTGCTTTGAATTTAGCCTCAAAGTCCACTTAGATGAAGTCTAAAAAGAGCCCACACTCTTAAGCAATACTTTAAAACATGCTTTTTCAAAAGGTTTGCTTTTAAAAAGTTGGGAGATAGTAAAGACAGTTTAAATATGTAAAAAAAAATTATCTGATACTTCAAAAATGGATAGAATCGATATCCAATAACAGTCTAAGCAAACCTATGTATGACTTTGAAGACATTATAATCATGCTTTTGGAAATTAGTTCATGATGGAATTGTTCACCTAAAAAGAACAGAAAACTTAGTTCTGTTTACTACATAGACTAGAGAACAGACAAGTAAAAGAAAATTATGACTCAGAAATAACCACTAATAAGACAGGTCAAGGAATACATGGATCAATGGAACAGTACAGAGAGCCAGAAATAAGCCCTCGCCTATATGGTCAATTAATCTATGACAAAGGAGGGAAGAATATATAATGGAGAAAAGACATCTCAATAAGTGCTGTTGGGGAAATGACCACTTTCTTGCATGATACACAAAAATAAACTCAAAGACTTAAATGTGAGACCTGAAATCTTAAAACTCTTAAAAGGAAACAGAGGCAATAATCTCTTGGCCATTTGCCTTGGCAACATTTGCTAGACATGTCTCCTTAGGAAAGGGAAACAAAAGCAGAAATAGACTATTGGTATTATACCAAAATAAAAAGCTTTTGAACAGCAAAGGAAATCAACAAAATGAAAAGGCGACCTAGTGAATGAAAGAAAATATTTACATTCAGTATGTCCAATAAGGGGTTAATAGCCAAGATATATAAAGAACTTGTTCAACTCAATGCTAAAGAAGTTGAATAATCTAATTTTAAAATGGGCAGAGAACGCATTTCAGTTCAGGTCATGATCTCATGGTTCTTGAGATAGAGCCCCGCATCAGGCTCTGTGCTAATGGTGAGGAGCCTGCTTGGGATTCTCTCTCCCTCACTCACTCTGTCTGTCTCTCAAATAAACTTCAGGGAAAAAAAAAAAAAGATTGCTTTGGCTATGCATGGTTTTTTTGTGGTTCCATACACATTTTAGGATTGCTTGTTCTAGCTCTGTGAAAACTGTTGGTATTTTGATAGGCATTGTGTTAAATATGTAGATTGCTTTGGGTAGTATTGACATTTTAACAATATTTGTTCTTCCTACCCATGAGCCTTTGTGTCATCTTCAATTTCTTTCATTAGTGTTTTATAGTTTTCATAATACATGTCTTTCACCTCTTTGGTTAGGTTTATTCCTATGTATCTTATTGGTTTTGGTGCAATTGTAAATGGGATTCCTTAATTTCTCTTTCTGCCACATCATTATTGGTGTATAAATGCATTGGATTTCTGTACACTGATTTTATATCCTGTGACTTTACTGAGATAATGTATCAGTTCTAGCAGGTTTTTGGTGGAGTCTTTTAGGTTTTCTCTATGGGTTTCAGGTCATCTGCAAAGAGTGAAAGTTTGACTTGTTTCTTGCCTATTTGGATGCCTTTTATTTCGTTTCATTGTCTGATTACTGAGGCTACAAATTCCAGTACTATGTTATGTTACTGTTATTTAACAGTAGTGAGAGTGGACATCCTTGTGTTGTTTCTGATCGTAGTGGAAAAGCTCTGCCTTTCCCCAGTGAGGATGGTATTGGCTGTGGGTTAATATATGGCCTTTATTATGTTGAGGTATGTTCTTCTAAACCTGCTTCGTTAAGTTTTTTTTTTTTTATCATGAATCGATGCTGTGCTTTGTCAAATGCTTTTTCTGCATCTATTGAAATGATCATATGGCTCTCATCCTTTTTTTTTAATTAATGTGTATCATGTTGATTGACTTGCGAATATTGAACCATGCTTGCAACCCAGGAGTAAATTCCTCTTGATTGTGGTGATTTTTAAAATATATTGTTGGATTTGACTTGCTAGTATTTTATTGAGAATTTTTGCATCCATATTCATTAAGGATATTGGCTGTAGTTCTTGTTTTTAGTGGAGTCTTTATCTGGTTTGGGGTTTGGGGTAATTCTGGCCTCATAGAATAAATCTGGAAGTTTTCCTTGATTCAGAAAGTAACCCTTAAAAAAACCAAAGAACACTTTACACTTCGGATGCTCTGAGGGCAGCTCCATTAACTTAGCTATAAGTAAATAAGCAGAAATTAAAACCAGCCCACCCACTCCTCCCTTCCTTTGATGGTGGAAGTATCTTCTTCGAGGTAACATTAATACATCTCTCTGTGCTCCAGACACCTGCAACCTCCTCTCAGGAACTTTGTGTGATTGACTATCTCTCTTCTTACATCTGCATATTTAATCTCTCCAAACTGGGTACATTACGTTAGGACTTAAACATGTTCTAGTTTCCCATTACTTTAAAAATCTTTTGCCATGGACGCATGGATGGTTCAGTAGATTAAGCGCCCATCTCTTGATTTTGGCTCATGACCTCCCAGTTTGTGGGTTCAAGCCCCGCGTCAGGCTCCGCAATGACAATGTGGAGCCTGCTTGGGATTCTCGCTCTCTCATCCTCTGCCTCTCCTCCACTTGTGCACGTGCACTCTCTCAAAATAAATTAAAAAAAAAATCTTTTGCCTTGGCCACATCTTTCTGTAATTACTACACTTTGTCCTATTCACATTTGTCTATATTCAGTCTTTACTTATTTGTCCTTTATTGATTACTAAACCTACCCAACCTACCATCCATCCTTAATGTATTATTTCCAACTAAGGTTAACAGTATTCCTCATGTTGCTCTATGATATGTTCACTTTTTAAAACTTCATCATCTAATCTGATCTCTAAAGAGCATTGAAAAGAACTGACTTTACCTTCCTTCTTGAGACACTGGTTTGTCTTGGTTTGGCAAAACTCCAGTCTTTCTGGTTTTCCTCTTACCTACTAAGACTCCTTTATTCAACCTACCTTTAAATAGAGCAGGTCTTCATGGTCAGTAGCAGACATTCTCTTCTCACACCATCCACTTTCTCTCTGCAATGTTAGTTGCCTCCACAAGACCTACTGTAGTCTATCTACTGATGTTGCTAAAATTGTATCTTCGTCCTGGACACCTCCTCTGGTCCAGAAGTGCAGCCTGTTCATCTGGATGTCTCAAACTCTATAAAGTTAACATGACAAAAACTGCAGCTACTGCCTCTTTCTTCCATCATAGACTCCTCTATATTTTGTTTCTTAATATATTAGAGCCAAGCTAGTCAGTTTTTATAGGACCAACTAGCAAAATCTCATGGGCTTCATTCAGCAATTAAAATTGTAATTTCCTCTTGGGGCGCCTGGGTGGCGCAGTCGGTTAAGCGTCCGACTTCAGCCAGGTCACGATCTTGCGGTCCGTGAGTTCGAGCCCCGCGTCGGGCTCTGGGCTGATGGCTCAGAGCCTGGAGCCTGTTTCCGATTCTGTGTCTCCCTCTCTCTCTGCCCCTCCCCCGTTCATGCTCTGTCTCTCTCTGTCCCAAAAATAAATAAACGTTGAAAAAAAAATAAAAAAAAAATAAAATTGTAACTTCCTCTTTCTCTGAAAACCTGATTTCTAATACTGAAATGTTTGGGATTCCCTGCTTCTCTGATCACTTGGTTCAGTGACCTTGGTTCTATCATCATTTCTAGCCTAAGCACAAGAGTTCTGTAAATATTCTTCTTCTGTTCCTCCCTTCCCTATGTTCCTATCCAAACACATGCATCAAACATAAAATATTTAACTCTACATACCTCTGTGACCTTTTTCTTTTTTGTGTGTGGTCTTTTTTCTTTTTAAATTTTTTTTCTTTTTTCTTTTTAAAAAACAAGGTTACTCTGTTGACTGTATGTATGTTTTTTTTTTTTTAATCAATAAGCTTACTTTTCTCACATAAAAATATCCAAATACAAACAGTATACTGCTGGTACAGCTATTTAAATAGGTCTCTGAGGAACCAGGATCTCCTTCTTTTATACCATCCTTAGGCCATGGCTATCATTCTCAAGGCCACAGATGGCTCTTTGAGCTCTAGGAATGGAAAACTCGAAGGGAAAACAATGGAGAAGGTATAAAAGGTGAAGTGCAAAAGGCAGAGAGAAAAAGCTACATAGGTCTGTTTCCAGTGATACTAGTTTTGATTCCCAAGATGAGGAAAATGGCTACACTTGGCTGCAAGGAGACTGTGAGGAGTTTTATAACTGGACATATTGCTAGTGTGAGCCAAAATAGGGTTATCAGTAGGAAAAGATGAGATGGATGTCTGACTGACTAGTAACAGTATCTGCCACAACAGGCCAGAAAGAAAATACCAATAAAGTAGTATCAGATATTCCAGCTACTCTAAATATAATGCAATTAACTTAGAAATCATTAAGAACATAACTGCAAACTTCAAATCATATTTTAAAAAGCATAATTCTAAACCCAGATAGATTCAAAAAGTTGTGATACATTTATACATTTAGAATTAAACTAACACAGACCAAAATGTATTACCTTGCTGAAGAGGTGTTTTAGAGGACTATATGTTTTACATGCTTATTTTGGATAACAAACACTGTAACAATGAGTTGGAGTTCACTTTAAGACAATGAAAAAAGCAATTCTACATTCATAACATTTATAGAGTTTCTCTCCCAGTATGAATTCTCTTGTGCATAGTAAGTGAACAACTCCAACTGAAGGCTTTTCCACATTGAATACATTCATAGGGTTTTTCACCAGTGTGAATTCTCGTGTGTCTCCTAAGGCAAGAGGAAACACTGAAGGTCTTCCCACATTCGTTAGATAGGATTTCTCTCCAGTATGAGTTCTCACATGTATCCTAAGGGATGAGAAACCCTAAAAACGTTCCCACAGTCATTGGATTCATAGAGATTCTCTTGAGTGTGTATTTTCTTGTGAACTTTAAGGTGCGAGCTTGTTGTAAAGGTTTTTCCACAGCCACTGCATTCATAGTTTCTCCCTAGTGTGCATTCTCTTGTGCACTGTATGATAACTTGTGTCAAAGGATTTTCCACAATGATTACATTCATAAGGTTTCTCTCTGGTGTGAGTTCTCACATGAACCTTAACAGATGTTTTCTGACTGAATGCTTTTCCACATTGATTACACTCATACACCCATGTGACTTTTCTTGTGCAAAATACGATTAGAATTTCTTTTGAATGCTTTCCCACATTGATTACATGATATTTCTTTTCACTAGGAGTTTCCTCTTGTTGCCTAAGGGATGGATAATGACAAAAAGCCTTGCTTTTATTACATTCATAGGGATTAAATTGTTATATATAGGAAGTATATTATTATGTTTGAAGTGTATGCCATATTTGAAACATGCATACTCTTTTTGTGCTGTTTGAGTTTTTTCCAAGGTGTCACAGCTCTATCATATGTATGACTTTCACAGAGATTCCCAGTTTCTTGTAATTGTTTAAGATTGATTTTTAAAAAAAAACATTTATTTATTTTGAGAGACAAAGCATGAGCAGGTGAGGGGCGGAGAGAGAGAGAGACATACAGAATCTGAAACAGGCTCCAGGCTCTGAGCACAGAGCCTGATGCAGGGCTCAAACCCATGAACCATGAAATAATGACCTGAGCCTAAGTCGGACGTTTACCTGACTGAGGCACCCAGGCACCCCAAGATTGAATTATGTTCTTTTTTTTTTTTTAATTTTTTTTTCAACGTTTTTATTTATTTTTGGGACAGAGAGAGACAGAGCATGAACGGGGGAGGGGCAGAGAGAGAGGGAGACACAGAATCGGAAACAGGCTCCAGGCTCTGAGCCATCAGCCCAGAGCCTGACGCGGGGCTCGAACTCACGGACCACGAGATCGTGACCTGGCTGAAGTCGGACGCTTAACCGACTGCGCCACCCAGGCGCCCCTTCACATTTATTTTTGAGAGATAGAGAGAGACAGAGCACAAGTGGGGGAGGGGCAGAGAGACAATGAGACACAAAATTCGAAGCAGGCTCCAGGCTCTGAGCTGTCAGCACAGAGTCCAATGCGGGGCTTGATCTCACAAACCGTGAGATCATGATCTGAGCTGAAGTCAGATGCTTAACTGACTGAGCCACCCAGCCACCCCAGATTGAATTATATTTCAAACACTCAATACTAAGTAGCATTTATGGCAATGTTTAGTGGAGACTCTCTTGAAAAAAACAAGTTTTGATTTAAGTTTAGAGTTTTCCTCTAATTCATTATGGTCATAGAATCTCTCCTGAGATGCTGTTTTCTTTTGGGTCACTTGCCTCATATTTCTCCCTGGGATCTTGCACTGTTTTCTGGTCTTATGGAATTCTTGGTCTTCAGTTAATGTGGAAGACCAATCATCCATTATGAATCTTATCATTTTCACTGCACTGGAGGATTTTTCCTTACAAATATTCTGCTTAAGGGTGGAGTCTTTTTTTTTTTTTTTTAATTTTTTTTTTCAA